GTCTCCTGCTTCCTACACCTATCTTCATTACATTACATTTGCTTGGATTAAACTCTAACAACCATTTGTTCGACCATTCCTGCAGCTTGTCCAGGTCTTCTTGAAGCCTCAAGCTGTCCTCCTCTGTCTTAATCCTTCTCATAATTTTGGCGTCGTCATCAAACATTGAGAGGAATGAGTCTATACCCCTCTGGGAGATCATTTACGTATATCAGAAACAGGATAGGTCCGAGTACAGAGCTCTGTGGGACTCCACTGGTTACTTCACGCCAATCTGAAGTCTCACCCCTCACTGTAACTCTCTGCTTCCTATTGCTTAGGTACTCCCTTATCTACTGGAACGCCCTACTAGTTACTCCTGCCTGTTTCTCCAGCTTATGCATTAGCCTTGTATGGGGTACTGTGTCAAAGGCTTTCCGACAGTCCAAAAAATGCAGTCCGCCCAGCCTTCTCTTTCTTGCTTAATCTTTGTCACCTGATCATAGAATCAAAGCCTGTAAGGCAAGATTTACCTTCCCTGAACCCATGTTGATGGGTTGTCACGAAGTCCCTTCTCTCCAGATGTGTTACTAGGTTTCACGATCTTCTCCATCACCTTGCATGGTATACAAGTTAAGGACACTGGCCTGTAGTTCAGTGCCTCTTGTCTGTCACAATTTTTGTATATTGGGACTGCATTAGCCGTCTTCCATATTTCTGGTAGGTCCCCCGTTTCCAGTGACCTACTATACACTATGGAGAGTGGCAAACAAAGTGCTCCTGTACACTCTTTCAATACCCATGGTGAGATTCCGTCCGGTCCAACAGCTTTTCTCACGTCCAGCTCCAATAGGTGCTTCTTGACCTCATCTCTTGTAATTTCGAACCCTTCCAAGGTCGCCTGGTTTGCTGCCACCTCTCCTAGCGCTGTGACATCTTCTTGTTCTGTTGTACAGAACTTTTGGTATCTTTTGTTGAGTTCTTCATACACCTCTTTGTCATTCTCTGTGTACCTGTCCTCACCCGTCCTAAGTTTCATCACCTGTCCCTTCACTGTTGTCTTCCTCCTGATGTGACTGTGTAGTAGCTTTGGTTCGGTCTTGGCTTTATTAGCTATATTATTTTCATACCTTTTCTCAGCTGCTCTTCTCACACTAACATACTCGTTCCTGGTTCTCTGGTATCTCTCTCTACTTTCTAGTGTTCTGTTATTACGAAAGTTCCTCCATGACCTTTTGTTCAGCTCCTTTGCTTTCATACATTCCCTATTAAACCACGGATTCTTCTTTTGTTCTCGGTTTTTTCCTGTCGGGCTGGGATTAACCTGCTTACAGCCTCCTGACACTTTTAGGTGACATAGTCCATCATGTCTTGTACGGACTTCGTTCTGAGTTCTGTGTTCCATTGTATATCCCTTAGGAATTTATTCATCTCCTCATAGTTTCCCTTTCGGTACGCCAGCCCTTTGTTTCTCAGTTCTTTTTGGGGGGAGATAATTCCTAGCTCAACCAGGTACTCAAAGCTCAATACACTGTAATCACCCATTCCCAAGGGGACTTCCAACTTAACTTCCCTTATATTCGACTCATTTAGGGTAAATATCAGACCAAGCAAAGCTGGTTCATCCTCTCCTCTCATTCTTGTCGGTCCCTTGACGTGTTGACTTAGAAAGTTTCTTGTTGCCACGTCCAGCAGCTTAGCTCTCCATGTGTCTGGGCCTCCATGTGGGTCTCTGTTCCCCCAATCTATCTTCCCATGGTTTAAGTCTCTCATGATTAGTAGTCTGGATCCGTTCCTGCTAGCCACAGAAGCTGCTCTCTCTATTATATTGAGAGGCCATGTTGTGTGTGTGTTTATGTGTGTGTGTTTATGTGTGTGTGTGTGTGTGTGTTTATGTGTGTGTGTGTGTGTGTGTGTGTGTGTGTGTGTGTGTGTGTGTGTGTGTGTGTGTGTGTGTGTGTGTGTGTGTGTGTGTGTGTGTGTGTGTGTGTGTGTCAGGGAGAGAAAAATAGAGAAAGAGAGGGGGGACAATTGTAGGCTGTTATGAAACTGGTCGAGTGCAATTAATGAATGTTCGGGAGGAATGGTCACAAGTTATTGGTGTTTGTGAGGATGACCGTCCATCACAAGAGCCGTCCGGGAAGCAGAGAGGGTCGAGGCCGTGGGACACTTAAGACGTGTCCTGGAATGCACCAAGCACCAAGCCAAACTTGCTTATATTGTATATATCTGTCCGTTCTTATATGACCAGGCACTCGGGTAAGTGTGAATATATAAAAGTCCAACGAGTATTAAATTGTGTCTCCGTTTCTCCCCCTTCCTCAGTTTATTAAACTTGCTCTCTATTTTTACTTTGCTTTTTACCCTCTTTCTTACTTCTGCCTTATTGCTCAAGACTGATCCATCTCCCTCTTCTAATCTCTCCACTGTCTTTTCCTCCCTACTATATTATATATATATTGGGAAGGGAGTACCACCTCTGCTGGAAGAAGGGGGACCCATATATATATATATATATATATATATATATATATATATATATATATATATATATATATATATATATATATATATATATATATATATATATAGATATATATATATAGATATATATATATATAGATATATATATATAGATATATATATATGTATATATATATATATATATATATATATATATATATATATATATATATATATATATATATAGATATATATATATATAGATATATATATATATATATATATATAGATATATATATATAGATATATATATATATATATATATAGATATATATATATATATATATATATATATATATATATATATATATATATATATATATATATATATATTCTCACGTTTCTTTATTATTTTACTCCTCATCTCCTAATTTGTTTGTTTTAATCCCTTCCCTGCCTCTCAGTTCCACCAGTATTTTGCCCCTATTTCCTCTCCTTTTATTCCCCTCTCCATCACTGTTATTTATCCATCCACTCATCCATTTTCACCGTCTCCAACTCTTCCTTCCACCTTCTCCTCACACGTATACTGGAAAAAATCTTAAGTGTTGATTATTGTATAAACACAGATGTTAGCACTTTCGTTTCCTCCGCCTGAAGTGCGTCATGTTTACACTCACTTCAGCAGCACAACACGCTGAAGTATGACCAAGCTGCAACAGATATAAAACTAAGGTGTTGCAGCAAAGGTTGCTAGGCGTTGTTGATTTCAAACTGTTTTTTTTTTTGGGTGGAAGGGAAAAGCGAGATGGCGATTCCTCCACTAAACCTATTACTGCCCTTCAAGCCACCTTGGATCCCTTGTTTTCTTCCTTGTTCACTCCTCCGGCTGTTCACTTGTTCACAGCCTCCCTGGTACCTCCACTTGCTCCGTGGGCCGTGACCAGCGAGCAGACACACTACCAGAGTTACTGTTATAAGTGCCACTGTAATCCTTCAATGTGAAGTGTAACCCCCCTAGCAGCGAGTCAGTCGCCGCAGTAATCATCACGCTGACTAATAAATTGGCAGGTAGTTCACAGCAGTTGAGGGTTTCAGCTACCCCCACTGACTTACCGACGGCTACCATAGTGATTTACCAACGGCTATCACTATCAAAGTCATTGCCAGAAAGTTAACACCTAAATGAAGAAAACAATTCAACAAAATTCATTCCTCCCCCCCCCCCCACCTTCCATCACCGCGGTAACTCTGAGGTTGAAACAAACGCGCAGACAGTGTCAATACAGCATTGCATCAGAGACTTTAAGCAGCTAGGCTGCCTTCTCTGCTCCTCTGAGCGGGGCTAATTACACAAGACAGCGTCTGCGACCGGACGCTTAGCTGGCTATCTCGACAGATATCGGACATGATAGTGACCGGAGGAACGGTGAACGTGAAAGGCAGAGGGCGGAAGAACTGTATTTCAAAAGCACAATAGCAACAATGACACAGTTGCCCTGTCACCGTCGCCCTCACCGGTGGCAATGCCAACTCCGCCGCTGCCAGAAACACTCAACTTTTAAAAGAAAGCTGTGCTTTCTGGACCAATTAAAATGGAACGTTTTCCTCGAGATCTTTCTTGTAAATCTGCTACTTAAAGTTGGTGTAATTGACAGTAACGGCTGATGATTATAACGATGAATATGATGATAATATTCAGTTTAATTAATTTATTATTAGTGACAAAATAATTGACTTTAGCATTAAAAATATCAGATAATGTTCTATTTGCATAATTAAATTTTATTTTTCGGTTCCTTAATTTTAAACAAGATATTTTGACAATCCCAAAATTTAAACTGAGATAAAAGTCAAACAAATCCAGTTATTTCCTAGACTTGGGTCAACCCGCAATGCGGGTCAAGGTCACATCCTCAGCCAATTGCCTTTTTTAGCATTTTAAAGTTACAATTGTCACTTCTCTTAAGTAAATAATTCCAGATCAATAAGTCCGTTACTTACTGTTTCCAATTTTAGACAAATAATCTTATATGTCTTAACACCAATTAGCCGCAAATTCATCCACGAAAAAATATATTTTGTAAACATTTGTAACTAATACAATAAGTAACCGAATAATTGTTATACAATTTCTTTGAGCTCCTGCTGGTAATGCATTTAAAAACAACAGTATTTTGGTCCACATGTGTTGGGAGTCGGCTCCAGCTCACTACTTAGTCTCTCGTTAAAATCACCAGACAAGTTGTTATTCAGTTTTAAGTTTGCACATCTGTCGTTTTAATGTCGGTTAGGTAAATAACGAGACCAATTATAGTGACTATTATAATTAATATTTTAAGCAAGACAAAAAGCGTCTGCGTATATTTCCAACATAGTTAATATCAAGGCAATATTTATTACCTAGAATCTTAATTAAAAATAATATATCAGAGTCAGTTATAAAGAGAATACAGAATGTTGAACCCCAGGATATAGAACTGTTAGGCCCTGGTCAGAGAGAGACGGACGCAACACTCGGGGCGTCTTTACTCAGCGAGTCCTCTTGTGGTACTCACGTGATAAATACAGGAGGAGCGAGCGCGTGCGTGGTCCTCACACCCCCACTACCACAGAGCTACTGACGAACGCTGCTCCTGACCACTCCATCCACCTAACGTCTCCGCCACCAGGAAACACTTACCAGTCTCCTTCCGCCAAACCCGGTCTAATACCCGATCCTTCCTTGCCTACCTGAACAACACAGGTACATGCTAGTCCCTGTTGTCAATAGCAATAGTCTCGAAACTACAAACAACCACCACTGGCTGCCACGCCTGGCACCTCAGCTCTTACTCAGATGGACGGCAGCAAATCCCGCTTTATCTAAAGATTTTGAAGATTCTAAATACTCCACTTTTCCTTATAACGGACCTTCTTACTGTATTTTACAGTACCCCGGAAATGACTCACACTGCCATATGAAGATTTCGTAACATTCTTACTTTATCAAAGATTTAATGATACTCGATTTTGCTTGATTTAATAATTAATCAAGGATATACGTGTTGAGAGAACCTGTCGTGTCCACAGATTACTCTGGCAACCTGCCGGTGGACATAATATCCAAGAATGGCGTTGGTTTGACGTTGAGTCAACGTTATTAACGTTGATTCAACATCGTATGACATTGATATCGAATTAATGTCATACGTTGATGGCACTGAGTTGACGTGGGATTGCTTTTACACTTGGATCTACAGATCCAAGTGTAAAAACAATTCATGAACATATATCCAAGAATAGTCCTGGAATCTGTTGATAGAGAAAGCCGAAAGTAATTTTTTTTATATAAATTCAATCAATTTACTTTATGCTATTTGTTTATATTAGTTTTTTAAATTGTATTCTCATTGTCCTACTTTTGTAAAGTGCGGCAATATTTGTCACGGCTCTAATGGTATATCTACATCCTGTTTTATCCTAGATTCAAATTGAAAGCTAAATGTTACTCGCTTTATGCCAAACATGTCAAGTTTGGTTTAGATTTGTGTACACCTGATTATCCAGCCATTATTGCAAAGATTTGTACATATTACGGAAATAGTTTGGGTTCTGAATTTGTCAATTGAAATCATGTTAAAATCTGTAACTGTAGCTGCTAAATCTACGTCTTGAGAATTCAGTTTTATAATTACAAATATTACATGTTGTGTTACTATTATGACTTTCTTAGGTAAATAATTTATTGTAAATTTGTTTAAACTAAATCAACTATAAATTTGCAAACATTTATGAATAAAGTATATAAATTTCGATAGTGTCCACATTTGGATAATGTTTGCTACTGTGAACATTGGCTAGCCGAACAAAGTCGCATCCTAACGGCGGAATCGCTATGTCCCCAAAGCTCAGTCGTGCAAAGACACATCAATGTCTTCCTACGACTTCCTGTGGAGCAAGATCCGGACGCCCAGCGAACCCTAAAGTGCTCACCAGGACCCTTCCAATCCTCGCTAACTCCCAGAACCTCACGGCCGAAGATCCATCTGGGAAACGGGAAAAAAATAATATGCTAACCTGTGACCCAGGCGTCGTAACAACGCGGGATGTTACAGAGGAAGGCATGACGGCGGTGTCTAGATCTAATGATCAACATCGCGGCAACAGTGAGAATAGCTTGAGCTACCTCATCCCTTTGTGTGTATTTTACCTCAATAAACTTATTTGAACATCGCGGCACGTTGTCTGGGGTTCCCCAAACGGAGCAGGTGGCAGGACTTCCCCTCAGCGTCAAAGGTAGACTGAGAGTCCTTCATACATTGTACGTAAACACTACGACTGTGGTAGTCAGAGGAGCCGATACCGTATGCCAGCTGAGCTCGTAACTAATTGTTGTCTCTATGGTTCTTGCTTTCATAATGGGAATTGTGCCACAACACAGCAATGACTGAATTTCGTACAGCATCTCTTAGGTTAACGAGGAATGGTATGAAAAATAGAATATAGATAGAAAGCGTGTAATTATTCATAGAAAGAATAGATTATTCATGAAAATATATTGCGGCCAGTATCAAGAAATGCTCGCTGGGAGCTTTTGTTACCTATACCTAACTTCCTTTTAATGACATTTAATAGATTTCCATACAAAAAGTTGACATTATCATTATAATTATCTATTATCATAACAAAATATTGAATACGCTTGTTACCAAATATTTAAACGGACGTATCGGAAGATAATGTCACTCCAATACGGACTCCTGATAAGGGTAACTGGTGCTCCCAGCGCGCCATGCTCTTCTGCACTCGCCGTTAGGCTGGAGAGAAAGAGATATACACACACTGAGAGATAAAGTCTCGGTGTTTAAACACTGACATTCCTTTAGTAATTAATTATGTTCGGAACTTAAGCATACTTGCTTTATAGCACTATAGCTTATCAGCCAGCTATAGTGACACGACCTAACTAACCCTCCTGAGTCTTAATCCTGCCACCAAACCAAACCAAGTTGGATAAATAGTAAGTTAGGATACTTGGTTATGAGGCAGGCCAAGTCATCTGACCCTTACTATAAAGCGACTATGTTCACAAAATATAAGTGCTGCATTACTTTATATCAAACGATATTAATTAAGCAAACGTTCTGGTATTCTCTTCGCTCTCAACACAGTTCACTGACGTGTAAGTAAAGAGTTCGAATAAGGATTAGAGGGCTAATATTTACTGATTAAATTGGAAAAAACTCGAGTACTTAGTCTCATTAACACTTGCATAACAAAATTTCCTTTCCTTTTACTGAGACAATTGGTGTAAATGGACATTTGGGACATACAGTTTCCGAATATACTGAATCTCAGGATATTCAACCTTGAGAAAGATGCTAAAGTGAAACATTGTAATTTAGACAGTAAGGCAGAAATTTCTATTTCATTAAGCACCCACATGTTAACCTTATGTGGCCAAGATGCTGCTGAGACAAGGACGTTTCTTACGTCCTAAATGGTGATAAAAGCCATAGAAAAGGGAAAATTTTATAACACGTAATTTGGTAATGGAAGTTTCCAACGATTATAAATGACAGAGCAGAATTAAGTATAGAAGATGGATTACATGTGATTTTTTTTTTTGTATTTTGCTCGTTAGGAAACTGTAGATCCATCAAGCCAAGAAGTGAGGAAACATTGTTGTAAACTTAGTTGTTAACACCGTCTTCACGAGTTGTTTATAAGAACATCATATTCCAACTATGCCATTTGCTTCAGTTAACGCTGAAAAATTAGTACTCTCATCATCAAGCAGCACCGGTAATATCAGAATATAAAATTTAACTTTAAAATTAATGTAATTTAGGCAAATTGGGTATATATGGATCCTTAAATAATGTAAAGGTTATAAAAACGCAGACTATAAAATGTAAATATATTATACATCAAAGCCAGACCCTATATATATTACGTTTTGTGAGCTTTGAGTGCTTGAGGCTGCCTGGGGCCAGATTCACAAAGCAGTTGCGCAAGTACTTACGAACGTGTACATCTTTTCTCAATTTTAAACGGTTTTGGTTACATTTATTAAACAGTTTACAAGCATGAAAACTTCCCATTCAATTGTTGTTATTGTTATAAACAACCTCCTGGTGCTTCGGAGCTCATTAACTGTTTAATAATGGTAAACAAAGCCGCCAAAGATTGAGAAAAAATGTACACGTTCGTAAGTTCTTGCGTAACTGCTTCGTGAATCTGGCCTCAGGTGAGCCTCGGCTCCACACGAGTGCATCTCACACCAACTCCATCATTGCTCACTAAACGTGTACAAACATCCATGCAATGAGAAAATAAACCTGTCATTGGAAAGATTCCCATTTAAAACCATTTTTTTTTAATATATAGTTCTGGCCGCTGTAAGTTAAGACCTTAATACTATGAGGTACTATTGACACTCTTGAGCAAAGTTGTGGTGTGTTGCTGGACGGTAGCCAGAGTGATTGATTGATAAAGATTAAGCCACCCAAAAGGTGGCACGGGCATGAATAGCCCGTAAGTGGTGGCCCTTTTGAGCCATTACCAGTATCAAGAGCTGATACTGGAGATCTGTGGAGGTGCGACTGCACCCTGCGTGACGGGAGATGTCTCCCGTGGTTGCCAGTCTATACGCTCTGCTTAACATTGTCTCTATTCTCACCCATCTGTCCCATTCACCTCTCCTACTCTCATCTTGCTTTCTTTCCCCTTTTCACGCTCAAACTATTCCTTCAACTGTTGACCAGACCACACACTATAAGTTGAAGGGACGACGACGTTTCGATCCGTCCTGGACCATTCTCAAGTCGATTGATGTCAGTCGATCGAGTCATCAATCGACTTGAGAATGGTCCAGGACGGACCGAAACGTCGTCGTCCCTTCAACTTATAGTGTGTGGTCTGGTCAACATACTTCAGCCACGTTATTGTGACTCATCGCCTGCATATTCCTTCAACTCTCCCATCCTATTCCTATCTAAGTATGCTCAATGTGTTCTGGTAAAGTTCCTCGTCCAGGGATCCAGTGTCTTCCTGCAGCATTAAGCTTTATATGCCTTCATTTGCCCTTTTATCTCGCGCCAGACATCTCTGCTGACCCTAAGAAATCTTGAGGTATTGTCATCTTGTCTTATTAATCAGTTTTACATGAACATATACAACAACTTAGCAATGCTGTCTCCTTCCAGGCTTGGGTCTTCTCCAAACAGGCTCCTTCCAGACCTGGGTCTTGGGAACAACTCAGCCTCTTAAATAATACATCGCATTTTGATTTCTAAATCCCCTTAAGGCCAAAAACTTATTTACTAAAAATCTTAACAGCTCGCAACATTGACGTGATGTCTCGTTTTCTATTCGTAGATGCTCGGTTTGGTTAGGTTTGGGCAAATGAGTACATTAGTTTAGTATTGTGAACGCTGGGGAAGATGGTCTGCTTCTCCAAGCAGGTTCCTTCCAGATCTGGGTAGCATTTACAATAACGTCTCTTTAGAACACTTTACCTACACCAGCATCTAACTATGCCCCTCCACGCTCCCCCGATACTATCGATCAGTTCCTAACCTACACGACAGTCAAATTCCCTCCTCCTAAGTCACAC